GATGTCCCCGACGAGAGGAGCGTGGGCGTACGGTCGGGCGTCGCTCAAAATATTTTGAAAGTGGCAGGGGGGCGAAGTTCCAGAAAAATATGACAATTTAGGTGTTTCAAAGGTTTATACTCAATACTCAATAGATTTATTTGTCATATATACATGTACAATACACATACAATGAAAGTCGGTCTGGATCCCTAACAAAAACAAACATAAAATACGAAAATTCGAACTATTGTAGTGACTTAATAATAAAATAATAATAATAATAATAATAATAGATTTTAGAGTCTACTAATATGTAGAAACATATAGGCCTCGGGGAGAGGGATTCTCTCCCCGACGGCCGTTGGAGCCACCCCTTTGAATACAAGGTGAAGAATGAAAAAAAAATATGCTTGTGTTGCCTAAGTTGCTAGAATAAACAAATACGTTGGGCGCACATAAAATACGGCATGATGTGAGTAAATCTAAAAAATACATAAACAAAGTTTGAAGGAAATACAGTAATAAGAATAAGCCATTGGTATTTAATTCTAATTGTTATTTTGTGTAAATATTTGTTTAATCGTATGCTTACTTTGAAGCGAAGCGAAAAATAATAGGTCCCCATAGAGAAAATAGTATAACTACAGATCCTACGGTATAACCTACCGTAGGCTTATCCGGCGCCCGCCAAGGCTGCGTCCATGTATATGCACACCCAGGCGGTAAAATTAATGGAGCAACAATAACACAACAAAATTTAAAAAAAAAAAAAAAAAAAAAAAAAAAACGAGTATTGATAGTCCTAACGAAATAGTAAAAGATACTACAGCATACTGTCGCAGACAAAATGACGTCAAACGTTGTCCGCATTTCCGTGCATGATCCTTCTTACATAATAATTCTTACCTTTGCGATTTTAAAGAGGCATTGTGGTGCTCCTGATAGTTGTCTCAGGGGCTTCTTTTCATAATGTGAATGTCGAGATTGTTTTTGAATGAGTTTGTGTTTGTCCTGTTTTTAACATGTTCCGGTAATGAGTTTCAGTATTTATACAGTGACATATAAAATAGGTTCGTCACTGATGTTGAATCTCGCATGACGTAATTTACTTTCCGTGTTCTGGGCTATTTTGAAAGGTATTACTTGCACTACATACCAGTAAACGCTTGTCAGTTTCTTGGTTATAATGTCGACTCAAGTGAAACCAGGATAGACCAATTATTCCTGATCTGGGCAGTACGTCATCAAAATATTTATTATATGAATTACTGCTGTCTCTTATACACATCTAGATGTGTATAAGAGACAGGTCTTCGACAGGGGGATGATATCCCCGACGAGAGCAAAGTGGGCGTGGTTGGACGTCGCTCAAAATCTTTCGAAAGTGGTTTAGGGGGAGATTCACCCAAAAGTATGACAATTTAGGATTTTCACATGCTTATTTCATCGATTTTAGAGTCTACAATTATGGTGAAACTACATATATTGTTTTTCCCTCCCAGACGAATTGTGGTTTTACTCCCCGACAAGAGGGGGTTAAGCCCCTAGCGCCCGCCACTTCCCATGACGCCGCCACTGGGGAACCCGGTCTGGTTCCCCTAAATATTTCAAAATTATAAAAAATATGAAGAAAAAAAAATCATATTCAAGTCTGAGAGTGACGTTTCCGGCCATGTAGAGGTGACATAATCACACATTTTCTTACCTCAGTCCCAACTACGGTGGGGCCGTGGTCTATAGTATTTACCCCCTATATGTAAAATTCCTTTCTTGTTGGGCCCTCTGTATTTCGAATTCCTGGATCCGCGGCTGCTTAGTTTAGATGCAAGAGAATGTGTTAAATACTTATGTGTGTGTTATTATTACTCTACTTATAATGTGTTTTAGGCCTATTTCAACCACTTACTTTGTTGACCACTTGTTAGAAGGCAAGTGGACATTTATAATAACAGTGCTATTGTCTTTTATTGGTTGGTTTTATTGGTTTGGTGGTTGTGATTCTTGGAAAAAAGTTAGCTATTTTCATGTTTAAAGTTAAAGGTCAATGTTGCTTGCTAATTTATTTAGAGGGTGGCGAATTGTTATGTTGTCCAGCTCCATTTTGATTCGTTCAGGATAAAGATCAAGTTAAGTACGAATCGGCGAATGCTTCTTAACTCTTGTTATGGCTTTGACAAATGAGCTTTTTTTTGGCAGCAAATGATAACAGAATAACTGTTGGTCATTGCTCAGTAAGCTATGTGTGTGCATTGTTTGCCCAATAGTGAGTGGCGAGTGTACCTGCTGTTGGATTTCATTTCATTTCTTTAGGCACGAGCGCCAAGGGTATGCAAATCAGTGAACTTAATCATTATTCTACGTGGGATACCCATTAAACGACAGGGGGACTGAATGGACCAGTACACCAGGGTAAACCCCCTACTCTTCTCGAAGGATGTACTGGGTTCTTTAAAGTGAACACAAGCCAAATGCGTACACTGGGCCTACGGTTTAAAAAATAAACAGTACAAACACAAATTAAAAGTAAGTATAGATATTTTAACAGATAGAGGAGCCCCGAATATCAGCCTAACTGGAAGGTTCACCCTCTATAACGATTTCAAAAAAGATGGATTAATGGGTGGTGCAGTAGGCCTACGTGATTGACAGCCAAATGTTTCACATTATGAATATTGAGTGCAAGAGTAGAACGGACCGTGTAGGCATATCCTGCAATCAGTCTCTATCCTGTTAGATGTTACAGATGTTGTCCACTGTAGTTCTCATAGAACTACATATAACTATTATCAACAATAATTATCTACCTTGTATATAAATAAGATATCTATTTCGAATACAAAATGTTTTCAATGTTTTTTTTTTATCCATGAAACAAAGCAACATCTCTAGATAGATAGATAGATAGATTGATAGGATTCAGTCAGTTTTGTATGTTTCTTGTTAAATGCTTCACTTTTCTTGTGTCCTTTAATTTTAATCCCCCCCCCCCCCCCCCCACCAAAAAAAGGTTTTTATTACATGACAATGACATGTTGTTTCTTCATAGACGTGTTAGTTTATATTAGTGATATATTAGTTCTGATAAAGAGCAAACTCAGGTGTTTAGTCTTTTTGTTAATTCCCATAGTTCAAGCATTCTTGTCCTGTTTTTAAAGACCACTTTAGTAGAGTTGATGCTTGTAACATAGTTTTACTTCTAGGCTTCTAAAATTCATGTGCTCTGAAATATAATTAGTCTGCTGGTGAATCAGTTTCAAGAATATAAATATTCCATATGAAGTGATGGATGTTGCATGTGGTGGCTGATTATGTCAATTGCCAGGGGTACAATTTAAAATCGCTTACTGTTGAAAAATATTAGCAAAGAAACACTTCATTATAGTACCGGTTTTTGTTTTTTTTTTCTTTCATGTTTGCATTACTTTAATTTTGCCTAATAATATTGGTTATAATGCTGTATATATATGTTATATTATGGATATGTTATAGTATGGATATCTTTGTTTGATGGTCTCGCAATATGACAATTATGATAATATAACCTTTTGTTTTAGTGGCTTAAGCTCCATTCACACCAAAGAATGGATCCAATCCAGTGCCTGGACAAAAAAATCATGAAAAATGGGTTCAGTGGTAAAGAATAGGACCGTTCATATCAAATTCGTACGATTTCCAATCCAGACTCCGGATCTGAAGCGATGGGCCTAAGAGCCACTTGTATCGTGAAATCGTACGGTTTTTTTTTCGCTAGACCAATCAGCAACAAGCTTTGTTGGTTTGAACCAATCAAACGCATGCATACTTCACATACGTACCTGACCCCGAATAACCATGTTCTGTGCGCAATGTGAACGTAGCGTTCAAAAAATGTAACAACTCCCAATTTTTTTTGTCCGGGCTCCGGGCTTGACGTGAACATAGCTCAAATATCCCTATCCACATTATCAAATTTTATGTGGCAAATTTGTGCGACGTAGGAATGGTTCGGCGCTGCGGTTGCAGTTCTGCTTTTCAACCTTGAGGTCGGAGGTTCAGTCCCTCGCTGTGTTTTTTGCTTGTGTCTTTAGGCAAGGCACTCTCCACCCAGGAGTACAAGCAGGTACCTGGTAGGTTCAAACACAAAATGCGCTGATTATAATTGCAACATTATGGAATTCTCCCCAGATAGATGAGTGTGTGTTCCATATGTGCTTGATCAAATGACCAGCGTAATAATGTTAAGTGCATAAATGTCTTTACAGTATGAACTAGTCGACCATTATAGTTATTATTATTAATAAAAATCGCTTATCGTTGAAAAATACTAGCGTTAAAAAATGATGTTATAGTATAAATATCTTTCTTTGATAAATAGTTTCAAAATGACAATTAAGATACAACCTTTTGTTTATCGAATTAATGCTCTATCCACGCTATTAAATTTTATGCGACATACTGAAATGTGAGTGATGTGCCCATATATGGGTATAATGTCATATTACATCCAAATATGGACATATCACATTTAATTAGTTTGGATAGAGTTTAAAGTAAGCCAAAGGATGCCTAAATTTAAATAATGTGTCTTAATCCCATAACACAAGCAGAAACAGCATCAGCAATTTTGAATCTGGTCCCTTTGGCATCTAAGTCCAATCCCTCCCTCCTTTATGCACTAACTCATCCATATACAGTGGCGTATCTAGGGGAGGGCGAGGGGAAGCACGCCCCCCCCCCTCAAAAAAAGCTCAAGCCCCCTATTGAAAATGTTTGAAGCATAGAAAATCATAGTTAAAAATCACCTCATATCACCTTATTTTGTTAGCTACTGTAGCTCCCCCTCACTTAATCATCAAGCTCTCCCCCCACTTCACCTTTTCCCCTCCCCCATTTCAAGAACCCTGGATATGCCCCTATCCATACGGAACTATGAAGATGCCAATTATGCACAATAATCAAAATTTGGCATTTACACTAATCATTATAACACATTTCTCTACACACCATTGACTTGCACATAATTTGACAAAGGCCATGTATACTATATTGCTATCATAAAATAGTTTATTTGGAATAAAAATCATACACTTTCTGTGAAAACAAAGTACATTGCATCTAAAATAACCTCATTAGTCCCAATTTATAACTTTACATTCATGACTCAAAATCTTGTATTGCATCATATTTTTGGCTGAGAACATAGTCAAACTAATGATTCTGAAAACAGTTAGTGACTTGTTGGAAGAAGTACTCCTCTCCAAGCATTTGTATGCTATTGTTTAAAATATGAAGCATTATAAGTTGTTTTTCATTCCTCCCCACGGGTAAATTGTACAATTCATGAACGTAGTATATATATAGGTTGCCATCAGTCTGTGAAAAAAGTAAAGTTATAAGTTCATTAAAAAGTGTAAATAATACTTACAATGATTTATTATTTGATATAAGTTAAAGGAAACACAATATTCAATTCTTCTATTATACAACTAATCAATTGTATTTATGATAATAACATTATTAAAGATATTAACATTATTAATATTATCATTAGTATATTAATAAAGACTAAATGATGATGAAGATAATAATATAAATAGTAATATAATAATTATCATAATAATGATGACAATAACAATGATGACTGCAAAATGATGATGATGGCAATAATGATAACAATATTAATAATGCTGTTAATAAAAATATATACATATGAGATGAAGTGTGAAGAATTCGACCCCTGACCTCAAGATTGAAAACCTGACCAGCATTAGCTGTACCAAATAACTTTCAATAGGATTTACCATTTAATTCCTGATACACGCCTGATAATTGCACTAAGATGTAGATTTATTTGATCCAAATTCTCGTTTGTAAATACTTTCAACAAACCCTTCTGTCATGTTGCTGATCTCATCCGACACGCCCTCCAACAGCTCGTTCACGATTTCATCAGACAACCTGCAAACAAGAAAATATCAAAGTAATTATTGAACTGAAAACTTGAAGGAGAGTCTTCAACAATAAATTAGTTTACTTTGACAATCACTGACATTCAGTGGGGTATCCACCAATCAGTTCCCCTACTTTAAGACTCCTTGACGTGGCACTGCTGGCATTTCAAACTATTCATTATCGACTGGTTGAGCGGTTAAGGCAGGGGCCCCACATCCTACAGCCACAATATTGGCGCTCGTTGGAACGGCACACTCCTCTGTGGTTCTGGTTGTAGAACAAGCCTTCTTGAATAAGGACTAAAAACCGTAGACCCAGTGTACACTATTATTATGTCTTGTGTGCACTATAAAGAACCCAGTACATCATTCGCAACAAGTAGGGGGGATACCCTGGTGTACTGGTACAGACAACCCCTGTGGCGGACAACGAGAGTTGCTGGTACCGGGTTACCGGAGAGCACAGACACAAAGGGACTCTTGGGGCGAAGAAACTCATTGCTGCAGCTACTAGTTCACATATCAAGCGCCATGAGCATCTACACAATTATTTATTATTATTATTTAAATTGTTTAATCTATGACTACTGTTTGACAAAATCAATCAAATAAATGTAAGCTGTAATGTGTTTCTATGATAACAAATGATAAAAATTAAAATGCATCCACTTACTCTTCAACAAGTTTCCATGGGTTGAAGGCGCCATACGTATGATGACTGGTCTTCTTGAGATGTTGTTCAAAGCGCCCTCTACATTCTTCAATTTTTTTCCTACTTTCCCTTGGAATGGACAAAGTGGTGCAAGGTTTCACAAGCACTCTGGAACTCTCTGTTCTGGAAGCAACAGTAATTGTTTTGTGATCATTACGATAACTTGTTTTTACATCAGGATTTGAGCCACTTTCTCTAGATTCAAAATATCTAGGTTTATAGTCCTTGGAATGATCTTCAGGCATCGCAGTATTCTGAGATTTAACTGAGGTATTTTCGCTATCTGACTCAGTATATTGTGTTTCTGGTACTAAGTAATTAGGCAACCTATAGTGAACTTGAGGTTTGTAAAGTTTGGTGTCCTTGTTCTTGGTGAATGTAAGAGATGTATGCTCCACAGGTACCTGTACATCTTGAGACATTCTGATGGGAGGAAAAAGAATAATGGTGAACTATTTATTATATGTTGTGGATGCGGTTTGGCGCGGTGCAAATGGTTTGGTTTCCCAAACCTTAAGATCAGGGTTGCAAACCTTCACTTGCATTTCGTTTGTGTCCTTCAGTAAGGCACTTTATCAGCATTGTTTCAGTCTACACAGCTGTATCAATGGGTACCAGAAAATTGCTGGGAGTAACTTGCGGTGGACCAGCGTCCCACCCAGGGGGAGCAGCACACTTTCATCCGCTTCCTGCTACTTGATACTGGGAATAAGCTCCAGTCCATATGAGCCCTGTGGCACATTGAGAATTTACTTTACTTTTATCATAGTATAATTATGGTTATGCCCTTGCATAGTGAATATTACTAGAACCTTATGCATTTGGTACATTCCATTGATCATTGTAGCATCAATAGTAATACATCCAGTAATAATGAGAGCAGCATGAATGAAGATCTGTTTACCTTTCCAATTCTGCACCATCTAGTGGTGTTCCTTTCAGAGTCAATGAATCACCATGTTCTTGTGTATGTTCTTTATGTTTCACCACGTCCTCATTACAACTGCTGTAGGTAATTTTCTGTAAGCGGCGACGAATAATGTCTTCCTCCGTCTTTTTTAGATTAATATGGAACAGATAAATTTAAACCATTAGTGGAAAAATAATGTAAACCTTATAGAGGCCTTTGTTGACTACGAAAAAACTGGCATATATATTATATACTAATTGACTGATTGATTGATTGATTTTATTAAGTATCAGTAAATACACAAATACAAAAAAAAAAATGATGACAGAGAAAATGACATGATAATAAGGAATGTTCTTTTCATATGGATGAAAATAATCCCCAATCACTGATACACAGCTGTAATTAATGGAGAGAGAGATAATTTAATTTAATAGTTAATATGTAGTTTACCTCCATCTCCTCAAGAGGACGGCTCACTGACTAAGCCTATGGGCTGTCTCTTATACACATCTAGATGTGTATAAGAGACAGGTGTATGTTCTTTATGTTTCACCACGTCCTCATTACAACTGCTGTAGGTAATTTTCTGTAAGCGGCGACGAATAATGTCTTCCTCCGTCTTTTTTAGATTAATATGGAACAGATAAATTTAAACCATTAGTGGAAAAATAATGTAAACCTTATAGAGGCCTTTGTTGACTACGAAAAAACTGGCATATATATTATATACTAATTGACTGATTGATTGATTGATTTTATTAAGTATCAGTAAATACACAAATACAAAAAAAAAAAATGATGACAGAGAAAATGACATGATAATAAGGAATGTTCTTTTCATATGGATGAAAATAATCCCCAATCACTGATACACAGCTGTAATTAATGGAGAGAGAGATAATTTAATTTAATACTTAATATGTAGTTTACCTCCATCTCCTCAAGACGTTGCAAGAGTTTTTCCAGAGTTGGTTCCTCTTGCAAATCCAGAGCTCTTTCCTCCAGAAGAATCTCATCCTTGATCTTCTGCAGCTGCTCCGCTTCATCATCAAGCACGTCCTCTATTGCTTCACCACTGCCAAGCAATTGCTGTTCAACTGTCTGTTGAAAGAAACAATCATGTTGAATGGCAAATGTACAAAACAAACAGTCTCACATGTTCAGCGTGAGCCTCACACATTTGTGGTCTGTTTCACGCGCTCACACAAAATCTCATGCATAAATAATGCCTATATTATAAAATAAATGTATACTATTTGTGACCTTTGTAGCCCTATTCTTACTAACATTTTCCACCTACAGTACTTGTAACATTATGTATACCAACTAGCTGCACTAGCACTTTGAATATGTCGTTTTATTCAGCATTGCAGATAAGATCAAAAGACGCATAAACACTACCAGCTTGTGCCAGTGTGAAATGCTTTGTGTGGACGAACTGAAATGCAGGTATTCTCAAGGAAAAAAATGCAGATCCTGAAAGCATTTTCGAGCAATAGGAAATAAAATTTCCCAGGAGAGGGGAGCACGCCCAGGGGCAGAATTTTCAGAACCCTCATGCCTGCAAATTTGCCTAACTTGGAATCTCAGCTTATATGGATTGAATAGAAAATGATGGTACAGTAATAATAATAATAATAGTATCACACTATATCTACACACGTTTTCTGTGACAAATCTCTTTGATTTGCCCATTTATGGACATAATTATGTCATGTTACATGTGTGGTATTTGTCACTTAAAGCTTTATAGTGTGGCCAGATCTAAGTGGTAGCCGTACATTTTGATGCCGTTCCTGTTTTTGGTGTTCTATTAGTGGCTGGAATTTCTTTCTTACAGCTTCCTCTGCTTCTTCGATGACTTCAGCTGTCAGTCTGTCAATCTCTTTTGATCTGGCTGACTGCAGCTCCAACACCTGTCACAATAAGGGCAGGACATCAATCAATCAATCGTTAAATCAATACAGAATTTACAAAAGGATAATGAATAAAGGTGTCATTATGTGAGGTATCTAATTAAGGATGAACACAATACTGTGACTCTTGTAATGTAAGTATGTATCATCTTTTGTGAAAAATAAACAAGGAAATTTTGATTCTATTTTAGGGACCAGTGGTTCAGTGACTACCGCAGTTAGTACACCGGAAGACAATCCCCTATTCTTTTCAATTAGTATACTGTGGTCTTCAATACGTACACGTGCTACTATGCATACAAGACCAAAAGCTTAAAGTCCAATTCAAGTAATAAATATTATTATATTGTCACAATAAAGTAAAAAAACTAATAATAACAATAACAACAATAACAATAATAATAGGAAAATTACAAGAATTTTAAGAGATTAACTTTTTCCCCATAGCATTTACATAATACATACAACAAACCTTCTTTTCTGTTTCCTTATCCAACCAAGCTTGCCTTGCCACTTCCCTTTCCATGAAGTCAGACCTCAACTGATTCAATCCCTCATCAATCTCCTCTTCAAAGTGCACTTTTCGTCTGGCTGATCTTTGAGTTTGTCTAGGGGAATACCTTGGTGACTGCCTTGGAGATTGCCTGGGGGATTGCCTAGGATTATGATGAGGTGAGGCTCTGGGCGACAATCTGGGTGAATTTAATTGGTACATTTCATCAGAAGCAATACTGCCCTCATTGTTCATATCCGTATCAATCCTTCTTGGGACACCTCCAGGGGACCAGGGTGGTAGGGGATTCTTTGGGGGTTTGACAGCTTCCCGTGTTTTTAATTTTGATGCAATGGTTGCATTGGTGAAGTGCACATCCTCAACTGCTTGCTTCTCAGATTCTGTATTCTTCCTTTTCATTTTTTTATACTGTGAAAACATAATAATAATAACAACAACAATAGTGAGAAAGCCGCAAACTTATAGATTCTGTATTTATGTTTGTTATTGTTAAAAAACAGCAAGCAAATTTATTAAACTTTAAGCAAGTCTCATTATGAGGTATAAGGATTGGAGTAAAAAAGTTGTTTATATTTCTATATCTATATACAAAAATATCTAAAATATTGGCGCAACATCAAGGTACGGGGGCTCAGTGAAAGGTGTGGGGGGGGGGGTTTAGCCAGAAAAACGAAATAGGCCATCCAAAATGGAAGCCAGTGGCACTGAGCTGATGGGCGGGCCACACCTATCTTTGGGAATCCCCACCGAATATTGGTACGAAAACAACATACATTCGATCAATAAATGTTGTTTTTATCAAATGTAAATATGATTTAGCTTTAGTTTAATGTAACATTTGATGGATTTAAAGAATACAAAAAATTTGCTAAAGGTAGACCAGGCCCAATTAGGCTAGGCCGAGCTGATTAGGAGAAGCTGCCCAAGCCACCACAGCAAAAGTGGACGCCCTAAATAATTGTATGCCGTTTAAAAGACGGCCGGACGGCTCACTGACTAAGCCTATGGGGGGGGGGGAGGCATGTATTTCAATGACAAAGTGTAATGATAGCTTATATGAAGTGTTGTCATGGGAGTTCACAGGCATTTGTAAGCCAAACATCAGGAATTATATTACATTTTTTAAAATTTGCTAGTTTTGAAGTCTTTTTACTGGAATGTAGTGTGAAGGGTCTATAGTAGAGTGCTGGGTTAGGAAGAGGGGCCTTCTGGAGCTCATTACTGTTATGCCACATTACTTACCATGGGCAAAAGCACACTTGTTTTCTTTGTTGTTTTATTATACCTGCCAGATGTAGGATTATATAATCCTGGCCCTGGTCTGGTACTGCTCCTAACTTGCCCTGGTCTACCACTGGGTGCTCCTTGCTTCTGTACACCTTTAGCTTTTATGAGTGCATCAAGTCTAGCTCTTAGTGCATAATCTCTCTCCGATGTCAATGGGACCTCTGTAAATCAAACAGGCCAGAACAATTAAGATTACTGTACTGTACTACAGTAATTTGAATTCTCACATGTTGCTTTTGTCCATGACAAGCCCTTGGCCAATATTTTGTAGATTCGTGTTAGTGTAAAATTGTTTATAAATAGGAATTCAAAAAATGTCAATAACAGTAAGACACCTAAAAGAATGGTGCTACGTATATATTTCTTCCAAATGTGTGCACACATCCTGACAGTAAATTATCACACTTTTTGTCCTTACTCAAATAAGTATGTGGTAAAGATAAAAGACATTTTGTTAAATTGAGACCACAGAAAAGTGGTTTTTAATTGGAGGTGGTCTCTAATTGGAGAGGTATTTTATTAAAGGGATACCTGTATTTGAAAAATTTCATCAATTATACATTCACAGGGCTCATGCCGACAGCTGATTCAAGCCCCCATCAGGCATTTATGAAGCTGACAATGACTGCCTTATTTTCCAGCTTGCACAGTGAACATGGAGTATTATAAATCTCAGATTAATATCCACTATGAGGGCAGTCTAATCTATTTATAATAATAATAATAATATTTATTCGGCAGAGTAAAAAGTATACATACAATATTCTTGCCAGGAGTAAGTAATAGGCATAAGCCCAAACAGTAAGCTGCTCTTACTCCATCATCAAAAACAAATACAA